CAGTGATTCTCCTGCCTCAGCCTCCCAAGTGCTGGAATTACAGGCATGTGCCACCACGCCCCACCACTCTTGTTCTTTAAGACAGGGTTTTACTATGCAGTTCAAGCTGGCCTTGAACTTGCAGCAATCCTGCCTCAGTCTCCCAACTGCAGGGATTATAGGCGTGAGCTACCACACCTGGCTTTCAAAACACTCTTAACATCCAAATAGTTGGTTTTCATTGAAGACTAGTGTATTTCATTTTAAAGGAATCAATGGTATACTCCTATAATCCAACACTCTCAGAGGCTGAGGCAGAAGATCCCAAGTTTGACCTCAGCCTGGGCAATTTAAGAGGGTCTTTTAAAAAAAAAAAAAGACCAGGAATTAGCTCAGTGTGAATGAAGGGTGGGGTGTGTGTGTGTAAAAGATATCAAATCAGCCTTAAAACCAGACCCTTGAGAATTTAACTCTTCATGTAATTACCCATTAAAGAAAAGTCAGTGTATTACTCTTCAGTTATAAGCAAGTTATGGTTCAAGGCCATTAATAGACAACTCAAACTGAGTTCATACTCATCTGAGTTCTCAAATACATTATTTCTCTTATAGATCTTAGGATCCTACAATTAAATACAGGACACTGATCTACAGATTGGTCCATACTTGCTCAAATAGAAGACAGGATTCACAATACAGGACCTTCATTTTAAGGCCCAGGGCTAATAACTCCTAGTGTCATTCTGTACAACTGCTTCACTGTCTGTATTAACACTTTTATTTCGTTGAGTTGTACCCATCCTATCATCTTTTTAAAGGCCTCTACAAAGGATATACAGGTGGAGCTCCCCTTAAATTTGTGTTGAAACCAAATGTGAACAGCCTGAGGATGTAGCTCAGTGGTGCAGCATTTGCCTAGCATGTACCAGGCCCTGGGCTCAATTCTGAGGATGACAAACACATGTTTTTTTTGAGTCAGGGTTTTACTACATAGTTCAGGCTGGCCTTGAACTCATGGCAACCCTTCTGCTTCAGCCTCCTGAGTGCTACAACTACAGATGTGCACCATTACACCCCCAAAATTTTTCAAAAAAAAAAAAAAAAAAATCTGTGTAATCAATCCTATTTAGCTGTAAGTGGTGTTATGTGCCTATAATCCCACCTTCTCGGGAACCTGAGACAGAAAAAGCACAAGCTCAAGACTAGCACAAACTATTTAGCAAGATCCTATCTCCTGGTACCAGGAATTGAACTCACGACCTCACACTTGCCAGGCAGGCGCTAGGCCGCTGAGCTAAATCCCCAGCCCCACAAGATCCTACCTCAAAATATGAAATTCACTCACCCTAGCATTCGAAAAAATATTCAGTGTTCAATTTGTTTCTAAGCATTTTTTCAGTTCTAGTGGGCTTTGTCAGCAAACGACCAACTTTCAAAGATAGAATTACTGACGTCCGTGACACAAGCTTACAGTAACATGCCCACCCAGTGTTCTCTAAAATAATTTGTTATTTTCAGCACATCTCTATCACTGTGGTCTTTTTTCCCTGAGACAAGGTCTTACTATAGTCCAGGTTGACCACCAACTTGCAGTCCTCCTGCCTCAGACTACAGTGCTGGATTACAGGCATGCACCATCATGCCCAGTATCATGGCCTCTCTTAACAGGCCTTGAATCTTTGGTTATGCTTATCTTCAATTGTAAAACCAAGTTAACATCCATTATTACACATCAGGTATAAGATTCAACCTTTTCAAGTATTTGTTGAAGCAATTTGTTTGAATCATGTCCTTAGGTATTCCACAGTGCTGTCATTAAGAAATGACAATCTAACTAAAAATGAGGAAGAGAGTGTTACATACTGGAAATACCTCGATCCTTTTATAGAACCAGACCTAGATCTTCTGAGTGAGGCTGATCTTGATCTACGAAGAGACACAGACCTTGATCGTCGAGGGGATGCCGATCTTGACCTAAAAATTAAGCTGAGTTCATTTCCAGAAAGTTTTTTTACTTGTTAAAATTTTACAGTAATAATCAAGATCTCTCACCTCCGTCCTCTGCTCCTGCTGCGGGAGCGAGAGTATCGCCTTCCTCTGGATCGAGAATGTGATCTAGACCGTGACCTATTTTTCAAGTTAGAAAAATACAAAATATTAGACTACAGCCCATCTTAAAAGTTTATGTGCCTCTGCTGAAATCAAATCTCAAGAACTATTTAAATTTAGTGTCTCATTTGGAAATAAATTCTGGGCCTATTAGTTGTTTTTTTTTTTTTTTTTTTTTTTTTTTTACTACCTAAAAAAAGATTTGTTAAAAGCTGAATTACAACTTAGAATTACATAATATAAAACACTGTAATGTGTATTTAAAATAAACCTTGCAAGTTTGCAGTCGACCCTCTTTGGCCCATGGTCTAGTAGGTCTAGCAGATCTAGACGATCTAGAAGTATCTATAGCCGATCGCTGCATCTAGATGTTTTCTTCAATCTAACGACGATCAAACTGACAGCCAAAAGAGCCAGGTGAGGCTTGATTGACGCAAGAAGATTTTTCTAGTTGGGAATGTGGTCAATCTGGTGTTCCTCTTTCTAAAGCGGAGGGGGCCCCAATTGTAAGCCAATTTTACTGTTACGGCGATCACCGTCTCAAATTTTCTGCCCTTTAAAGAATAAGGTGAAGCTAGGTGTAGATGACTCGAGGGGATCTGGCCTCTTATGCTGATCACCTCAAGGTCTAGGAGGATCTTAATTGTCGGATTTGCAAGGCGCCTCAGCATGATATCATAAGGCTCGTGACATTCTGAATCAAGGCGACTGACTCAAACGAAGAAACCTGAAAGGTTTTGACCAGGTTGATTATTAATATATTAACATTTTTTAATTAAACAAAAATTGTAAAATACACCTGTACAATTAACATTCAAGTTTATAGAAAAAAACTAGTTTCTGCCTTGCTAATAAAAGAATTACTCTGATTAACTAGAATACCAACCATTCATTTATTAACTAAATACCTGCTTCTTCTTCTCCTGCTATAGCGATGACAATCATAAGCATAATGGCCCTTTTCGCCACACTCATAGCATCTATCATTGGGATCAAAGGGACGTCTGGCAGGTGGTCTATCAAAGCGAGATCTCCGAGGCATGCCCGTTGATAATTCAACCCTCACTCGGGAACCACAAATCACCCTATAAAAATAAAATCAGGAATTAAAGTTATGTGATTTTTACATTTAAAAGAACTCTTTATAGTTACTTCTTACCCTCAATAGCATGTTTTACTCAGCCCTTCCAATTCTACCCTTTCTACCCTCTTTAACCTTAGGGTCTTAAGTAAGTGTATGTAATGTTTCTGACTGTGGAACCCAAGTTTAGTACTCAGAGCACTAACCAGCCTGTAGGACTATTTTACTAAACCTAAGTCTCATAAAACATCCCACTTACTTTCCATCCAGTCCACGTACTGCATCCTCAGCATCTCTAGGATCTTCAAATTCCACAAAGGCAAATCCTGGCGGATTTCTTGCGATCCACACAGTTCTTAAGGGACCATAATAACTGAAAGCCCTTTCTAACTCTCCTTTGCCAGCTCCAGTTCCCAGGTTACCAACGTACACCTTCGTTTCTGTTAACGCAAATACAACAAAGAAGGGTTAAAAGCAAAGTTTGGCTTAAACTTGAATGAAC